CCTAAAAGAATTGTATTTGGATCCAGTAATGTATAAAAAGGATTATATATTTTGACCAAGTAAGGTTTACCCGGATTAACTTAACATCTCAATATAACTTAATTCAGTGCATATATTAATAGAATAAAGCAGGAGTCAACAAACTATGGCCCACAAACCAAATTTGGTATGTCTTTTGTTTCTGTAGATAAAGATTTATTGGAATACAATTACACCCATTCATTCATATGTTGTCTAAAATTACCTTCATCCTGCAAGAGCAGCATTGATTCATTACAACAGAGATCGTATAGCTCACAAAACCAAAAATATTTACTATGTGGTCCTTTCTGAAAAATGTTGCTGACCCCTGGAAAAAAGGATAAAGTCATATGATCATTTCAATAGATGTAAAAAATGCATTTGATAAAATCCAATAAACATAATAAAGCTCTCAACAAACTAAGAATAGAACTTCTTTAATTTGATGAAATGCAACTATATAAAACCTACAACTAACATCATGCTTAAAAATGAAAGACAATGCTTTGCTTTCCCTCAATATTAAGTATAAAACAAGGATATCCACTCTTGTCACTTCTATTCAACATTGGATTGGAGCTTCTAGCCAGTCCAACAGACAAGAAAATATGAATATAATATCAAAATACAACCAAGTAGAAATGAAATTAAGAAAAATTACATTCACAACAGTATAAAAATATTCAGGAATAAGTTTAACAAAAGAAGTGCAGACTGTACACCAAGATTACAGGACATTATCAAGAAAAACTAAAGACCAAATTAAATGCAGATATGCCTTAAGTCTGGTAATCAGAAGACTCAATATTATTAAGATAATCTCTTTTCTCAAAGTTGATCCACAGATTCAATGCAATTCTTATGTAAATACCAATAAGTTTTTTTGGGGGGGGTAAAAACTGGTAAACTAATGCTAAAATTTATATGGAAATCCAAAAGACCAAACACAGCTAATAGGATTTTGAGAAAGAACTAAGTTTGAGGACTTATTTGACCTAATTTCAAAATTTACCATAAAGCTGTAGTAATCAAGACAGTATGATAGAACACTTTCAGAGGAAAACCTTTTTAACCTTAGGTTAGGCAAAGATTTCTTAGATATGATGACAGGCATATTGATAAATTAGACTCCATTAAAGTTAAAAGCTTCTGCTCTTCAAAAGGCATCATTAAGAATGAAAAATAAAAAGAATGAAAAGAAGCCACAGACTGGAAGAAAATATTTGCAAATGTGTATCTAATAAAGAACCTGTATCCAGAACATATTAAGAAACCCTAAAATAAAAATAATCCTTAGGGACGCCTGGGTGGCTCAGTTGTTAAGTGTCTGCCTCTGGCTCAGGTCATGATCTCGGGGTCCCGGGATCGAGTCCGCATGGGGCTCCCTGCTCGGCAGGAAGCCTGCTTCTCCCTCTCCCATTTCCTCTGCTTGTGTTCCCTCTCTCGCTGTGTATCTCTCTGTTAAGTAAATAAAATCTTTGAAAAAAACCATTAAAAATCAAAATTAAGAAAACCAACAACCTAATCTAAAAAAAATGGGCAAAAAGTTAATAGACACTAGGCAATGAATATATATGAATAGCAATTAAACATATGAAAAAACACTCAGTGTTGCTTATTGTAAATACTGTAACAATTACTTATTGTGAAAATGTAACTTAATTTATTTTTAAAAATTATTTATTTATTTGAGAGAGAGAGAGCAGAGAGCAACACAAGCTGGGGAAGGGGCATAAGCAAAAGGAGAAGCATACTCCACGCTAGGCAGGGAGCCCGAAACGGGGCTCAATCCCAGCATCCAGGGATCAAGACCTGAGCCAAAGGCAGATGCTTAACTGACTAAGCCACCCTGTGAAAATGTGATTTTATTTTAAATCACAATTATTTACTACTACTTATAATACATACCCACTGGAATGGCTAAAATTTAAATGACTTATGATACCAAATGTTAGAAAGAAGCAGGGAAGCTGGGACCCTCATATATTGTGAGTGGAAAATGTAAAATGGTACATACTTTATACAAAGCACTTTGACAGTTTTATGAAATGTTATACATATATTTATCATATAACCTAGCAATTCTGTTCCTAGGTGCCAGAAATTTTGTGTATGAATGGACATTATGTTCACAGCAGCCAAAACCTAGAAATAATCCAAATACCCATCAGCTAGTGAAGAGATAAACCAGATCAATGAGAGAATCTTACAACAAAATATCTATGTACAATTTGGTATTTCTATACAAAGGGATACTACTCTCTAGTAAAAAAAAAAAAAAGAATGAATTACAAATACATTCAACTTGGATGAACTTCAAAAAAAATTATGCTAAGTTAAAGAAGACAACAGTTAAGCTTACATATGATTCTGTTTAAATGAAATTTCTAGAAAAGAAAAAGTTACAGAGACGGAAAGCACCTGGGGTTGGAGGTGGGAGCAGAATTTACTGCAAACGGAAGCGAAAGTTTTTTGGGTTTCACTTTTGACCTTTTTTGAGTTGATGGAAATGTTCTCAAATGAGACTGTAGTGATGGTTATACAACTTTATAAATTCACTAAAACTCATCAAATTGTACATTTAATTGTAAACATAGAAATCAAACGTCAAAGGAGCTATTTTTTGTCAAAAAAAAAAAAGACTGCTTTCTGCTTAAAATATATTCCCTGTATACTATTTGCATTGCTGTTACACAGGACTGTCATATCAGCTTTTTAGATTACTAACTCAGATTGGAATATGAACTATTCGTGCACAAAATCAACACTAATTTGATTTATTTCTCTGCCTCTTTTATCATGCTTTGTCACATAGTTGGCTCTTCTATTTAAACCCTAGTTCAGCAGTTCTCAAGGTGTGATTCAGGGACCAATTCTTTCTGAGTCTGGTAGGTTAATACTATTTTCACAGTAATTCTAAGACAACATTTACCTTTATCACTTCTTCCCTCCTGAATGCTCAGTGAAGTATTCCATATGACATGTAAAACACAACAGGCTGCATGAAGCAGACATGAGAATCCAACTGTTTTCTTTTCGTTCTTTTTTTTTAAAATTAAGCCAGACACTAGATTTAAATGCCACTCTTCTCATTTTGAGGAAAACATAGTGTTAGCATAAAATTGTGATATGTTAATATATACTAGGTTTATTATTGATATTTTAAATGAATTGATAACCATTTTTAAAGTCCTTAGTTTTTATTTATAATATGGCAAGTATTTATAAGTAAAACCATATTGACAGATAAAACTACAAATATTGATAAATAAAAAGCTGTTTGGAATCTTCAATCATCTTTGTGGGTGCAAATGGTTCCAAGATAATAAAGTAGGAGAGCCACGGCCCTGTCTACCTGCCAGGTATAAGAACTCCTGTTTGTCACATTGGACAACAGGGCATTAGAGAACTGGGCAGATCTTCTTTGAAAGATAACTTGTCTTGGTTGCAAAAATCATCTGCCTCAAGATAAATCTATAGCTTTTAGTCAGGACATCATTTAGAAATGTAGCAAATGTTAATCCAAGATTTCTTTTTCTTGATGAAAATAGGCACAGTCCTGGAAAAGGAGAAGCATAATCATGGAAAGGACTTGGAGCAGCGCCTAGGATAAGAGTAAACTCTTAAAATGGGTGGTAATTACTATGTTATTATTAGACTATGGCAGTCCTTATTTACCTAACAAGTGTTTATTGAATGCCTACTAAAGCCAGGCTCTATGGGTCAGCATTGAGGATTCAAAACACTGCCTGTCCCCAAGGAGTTTATAGTTAAGTAGTGGAGTCAGTAGAATAATGACATAAAGATATACATAATCACGAATTGTGGTAAAAGTTTTAAAAGAAATGATGGACATATGAGTGCATAAAGGAGATCTGACCTGATTTTCAGAATCAGATAATAAGAATTCTCTGAGAAAGTGACATTTGGACTGCGATTTTAAAAATGCGCAGCAGGAGGCAAGGAGACACAAGAGGGGAACAGCGTTCAAAGCCCCTTTCGGTAGAATGATGAGAGGCCAGGGTGGCTGGAGTCCACAAAGCCATAGCCTTTTGGGGCTTTATATGCTTTGCAAGTATATTAGACCATTATCATGGGGTCAGTGGGGAGCCATGGGAATATTTAGGAGCGCGAGGTGTGACAGAACAGAACTATATTTGCACTTTAAAAAAGATCTCGGGCAGCTGGAACATAGTGGAACAAGGGTGAAAACGGAGACTATTCACACAGCCACGGCAGTATCCAGGCGAAAGATGATGGAAGCTTGGAACAGAGTAATGGCGGTGGAAGGCCATTAGGATTTTTTAGGAGACGGGATTTGGCATGTGTTTCTGCAAGTAGGGCCCAAAGAACCTTATGATTAATTCAGAGTTTAATAGTACAGTTATTGTGCAAAAGGGGGAGTTGCAAAGCCTCCCCCTCTTTTCCCCTTGGTATGGATCCAAAGGCCCCCAGTGATGCCCGGCGCCTTCGGTGTACTCGGCAGAGCAAATCGCACATACAAGGCCAGGTTCCCCACGCCGCTTACGGGACTCACTGGACTTTATCCTCCGGAGGTCAGTGGTGTGGAACCGCACCGTCTCCTGGGCAACACCATTGTCGGGCTCTCCGGGCGGGGGAGGGGTAACTAAGGACAACGGCCGGATGAGAACTCCGGAAGAGAGGCAAAGTCAGAGGGGGGAAAATGGGCAGCACGTGCGACAGCCCAGGCCATCACGGGTGATTCGAGGGCCCAGCACGAGGAGAGAGCCGAGGGCCGGAAGGGCCGCAGAATGCGCCTGTGATTGGAGGGCTGGGGGTATCGGGACGCTTGTGATTGGGTGAGGCCAAGACGGAGGGCCGCTTTTTGAACCGCGTAGGGTTCTGGGTAGCAAGGACCTTGGAAGAGTCTTAACCGAAAGGGGGAGGGGGAAGGTCGCCAACAAACGGCTGAGCTCACAATCCGGGCCGGGACCAGGCCGGGGCGTCCCCCTCCCCCCATGGAGAGAGCCAGGCCGGAACCGCAACCTCAGCCGCGCCAACTGCCACGGGCGACCCCGCCGCGCCCGCTCCGCCCTGCTCCCCCACAGATGCCGGTTGAGAGCACCTCCTTTAGGACTGCGGCCGCGGAGCTCCCCCCGTCGCCGCCCACCCCGTGCGCGGCCGCCATTGCGACCGTGGCCTCGTCGTGCGGGGAGGCCCAGGCGTCGGGTGTACAGCCCGCGGCGCGGCGGCTGCTGCCGGAGCAGGTGTTGCTGCTGCCGCCAGGGCCACCGCTGGCGCAGGCCCGGGACGAAGGCGTCGTCGCCTCACCGGCGCAAGCACGGCTGCTTCAGCTGAGGCCCGAGCTGCTGCTGCTGCCACCGCCTCCGCCCGCGTCCGACGGCGCCCCCTGCCGACCGGAGTTGCACCCTGTGCAGTCCCAGGCGCCGCACGTCAAGGCTGAGAAGCAGGAGCAGGGGACCGACTTGGATCCGTCGGCGGGGACGCGAAGGCCTGTGGAGGCAAGCCCTAGGTCCTCCAGGACGGCCAAGGTAGAAGGCCCGGGGCCAGCTCTCGACTGCCACGGTTGGGACGAGAAGAAGGGCAAGCTGGAGGCGGAGGAGGTCATGAGGGACGTGGTGAAAGGCGGGGAAGGCAAAAACCTGGCTACCATCAGAGAAGGAGTCATCAAAACAGAGGAGCCCGAGAGACTCCGCGAGGACTGCAGGCTGGGCACGGAGCCCGCGTCCAATGGCCTGGTCCACGGCAACAAAGAAGTCATCCTAGCTCAGCCATCCAGTGCCTTTGGGCCACACCAGCAAGACCTCAGGATCCCTTTGACTCTCCACACGGTCCCCCCTGGAGCCCGGATCCAATTTCAGGGACCTCCGCCTTCGGAGCTGATACGGTTGACCAAGGTCCCCTTGACACCAGTGCCTATTAAAATGCAATCCTTACTGGAGCCTTCTGTAAAAATTGAAACCAAAGATGTCCCGCTCACCGTGCTTCCCTCAGATGCAGGTATTAGACGGCAGGGGAATCTGGTTTTCAAACTTCATCTGTGTTGCCCCATAGCTGACATGTCAGCAGTTCAGAAGCCCAAACTAGAAAAATAAAATCATGGAACTGATTCATTACAGGGCAAAGTCTGCACAGGTATCACTTCCAATTGACTTGTACACATACCAGTAAAATACACTAAGATGTTCCAAGATTCCCAAACATTTTTCTAAAAATCTATTTTAAGGCCCAGTGAATGATGAGATTTAGAGGTGACTAATGTTTATACACAAAATAGGAATATTCTCACTATAAACACCGTTATTTCAGCCCTCAGTTTCTATGCTACACTTTGTTGTAGTAGTTCAATATTTTTACGTGTATCAGGAAGAAAATTTTATTTTTTAAAAACATTTTATTTGAGAGAGTGAGTGAGAGAGAAAGCCCAAACGAGGGGAGAGGCAAAGGGAGAGGGAGAGCTGACTTCCCACTGAGCAGAAGCAGGACCTCAGGCTCCATCCCAGGACCCTGGGATCCTGATCTGAGCCAAAGGTAGATGCTTAATAGTCTGAGCCCCCCAGGCACCCCAAGAAGAAAATTTTAAATAGTGTTTAATGAAAAAATGTTTATACTCAACTAGGAAAGTTTATACTGAATTTGGAGGTGATTTGTCTTCTTTAAAAATGAATAGTAACCATTTTTCTAAGAAAACAGTACATGATTAATGTAATACTTTAGTATTCTAAAAGCTAAGAATGTAGAGAAATACAGAAAATGAAGATAGAATAAGCTAGAAATTGTTTTCAAAAATGACGATAGTTAGTAACAACTACAAATAGATATTTTGTCACTACTCATTATTTACAAATATATAGTTAGAAAATTCAGATAATTTTATGCCAATGAATATCATGGAAAATCATACCATCAGTTCATATTTTTATTCACTTTATATTTGCTGTTTTCTTATTTTCCTTACTGATCCTTTCCATGTCACCCTCTTTCTTTTATAAGCTTCATTTTCTAAAGGAGAGAAAGGGAAAGATTTCTTTATAATATTTAATCCTTTGTGCATCTTAAAAAATTTTGTATAATAAATAACTAAAATAAAGAGAGACAATATAAGAAGTTTATAGACAGTTGTTTTTGATGAATTAGGTGAGAGATGTGAATTTAGTCACCTTCCTTTATTGTAATTTCAACTGGTTCTATGACTCTCTAAAAGTCACTTTTACTATTTTTCTTTTATTTTTTCTCCCAGGTCATAGGATTAGTGTCAATCACCCACTTTGGCAAGAGCTTCACCTTCATAATGAAATAGAATATAGTATGTTACAAATATTTTTACTTAACGGACACTACCGGGGCATGTAAATGAGTTCCTTTAAACATTTAGGGAGCACCTAGCTGGGCTAAGATTATAGTTATGAGTAAGTCCTAGTTCCTGTTCCCCAGTAATAGAAGATTTTAAATGGGCAAGAAACTAAATGTTAACTCTTGGTAGAGGTATTACCAAAGCCCAAGGAAGTAATAAGCCAACAGTTTACGGTGTCTTCAACATTATCACTCCTACAATATCTTCAACAATATTATTTTTTTGAGGAAAAGAAGAGTCATTCTAAGCTACAATTTAGAATGCTGAGTTCAGGGGTTATGAGGCATTCTGGAATACTGGCAGTTCTTTTATTTCCTCCAGTTAAAAATAAATATAGATGAAGGTGCTCTTCATTTTAACATTGTGTTTGCATCTGTGTGTATGGCACATTAATTCAGTCTTTTAATTTTTGTCATGTAGGAATACCAGATACTCCCTTCAGTAAGGACAGAAATGGTCATGTGAAGCGACCCATGAATGCATTTATGGTTTGGGCAAGGATTCACCGGCCAGCACTAGCTAAAGCTAACCCAGCAGCCAACAATGCAGAAATCAGTGTCCAGCTCGGGTTAGAGTGGAACAAACTTAGTGAAGAACAAAAGAAACCCTATTACGATGAAGCACAAAAGATTAAAGAAAAGCACAGAGAGGAATTTCCTGGTAATCAAATGAAACTTCTTTCTAATTTCTTTTAAATTAATTTAGGTAAAGATTAGACAAAAATGCATATTTTTTCTAATCTGATATGTAAAATAAAAAGAATAAAGGCTAATAGTATAGTAATGATGGAATTGACACAGGGCATACATTCTCTTAAATAGAAGCAAGTAGAAGAATATCTGGTCTCATATTTTGCCAACTAATAACAAACCGGGGGACATAATTTTGCTGTTTTTTTTTTTAAGATTTTATTTATCTACCTGACAGAGATCACAAGTAGGCAGAGAGGCAGGTGGGCGGGTGGGGGGGAAGCAGGCTCCCTGCTGAGCAGAGAGCCCGATGTGGGGCTCGATCTCAGGACCCTGGGATCATGACCTGAGCCGAAGGCAGAGGCTTTAACCCACTGAGCCACCCAGGCACCCATTTTACTGTGGTTTTGATTAAATATACAGATATGAATTTAATGAAGTTAAACTCCAGAATGTAAGTCTACAATTTTGCAAATATACTAGAAAATGAAGAGTTAAAATCATAGCAGCAGAAACAAATACGCATCATACACTTAAAGACAATGAGAATGCAGGGATTGGCACCATGCTCCATTTTGATGTTATATGGTTATCAGAACACAGTTATGTCTTCTAATTGCCAAATTTATCCTCATCATGATGTAGTTTGAAACAATTTCTGATTTACTCCCCAGCCATGAGGGCATTTCGATTAAGCTTGGGTAAAGGCAAAGTGTATGGCCAACATGATCATGCATGATGAGAAAATAATTATTTTTTTCTAAAATATGAGAAGAAAGGTTTTGGGTGTCAGAGTCAACAGTTACAGAGAACCAGTTATTCTGGTTATACAATGGCTGCAAACTGTTAAACTCCACTCTTCTGACTTTGGAAGGAAATTGGGTTGTTTGTGGACTTGAGACTGCCAAGTTTAGGAGAGTGACTCTTCCTAAGCTAGGTATAAAAATAGTGAATGGTCATTAATGACCATTCCATTGTAAGATATAGACAATTATATCTCATAGAAAGAGAGGGAACAGGAGGAAATGAATATCTTACAGGGGCATTATTTTATAGGTAAAGGAAAAGCTCTGGGATTCAAACTCAGTGTCTTTGATGTCGATTTTACTGTGGATTCAATATGTGTCTTTGGATATAAAACATTTGATCTCACTCTTCCTTTGAATTATGGGTTACAATATTGACCACTAGTTGGGAACTATATAGACATTAAAATACACAGAAATTACATAATAAAGTTGGAAAAGACATTTTACTTTAGACAATAATTTTTTTAAGAAGTTTTTTTTTTTTTGTGAAAAGAACTATTTAAAGGCTAAATAGGGTCCTTATGTTCCAATTAAAAATTGCTTATCTTCTTCTATAGGTTGGGTTTATCAACCTCGTCCAGGGAAGCGAAAACGCTTCCCTCTAAGTGTTTCCAATGTATTTTCTGGTACCACACAGAATATCATCTCTACAAATCCTACAACAATATATCCTTATCGCTCACCTACCTACTCTGTGGTAATTCCCAGCCTACAGAATACCATCACTCATCCAGTTGGTGAGTTTATTATAGATTATGAATTTTTTTTAAAGATTTTATTTATTTGACAGACAGAGATCACAAGTAGGCAGAGAGGCAGGCAGAGAGAGAGGAAGGGAAGCAGGCTCCCCGCTGAGCAGAGAGCCTGATGTAGGGCTCGATCCCAGGACCTGGGATCATGACACGAGCCGAAGGCAGAGGCTTCAAACTACTGAGCCACCCAGGCGTCCCAGTAGATTATGAATTTTTAAAGATTTTTTTTTAATTTATTTATTTGTCAGAGAGAGAGAGGGAGAGAGAGCAAGCACAGGCAGACAGAATGGCAGGCAGAGGCAGAGGGAGAAGCAGGCTCCCTGATGAGCAAGGAGCCCGATGTGGGACTCGATCCCAGGACGCCGGGATCATGACCCGAGCCGAAGGCAGCTGCTTAACCAACTGAGCCACCCAGGCGTCCCAGATTATGAATTTTTAATAGTTGTGTGAAAATTTTACCTTAAGTTGAAATTTCGTTTCTGTTAACTTAAGAATTTTTAGAACAATAGTATTAAGAGAAAAAATCAAGAGGAAAGTAAAAACATGAAATTGGAGAAAGAAAAATTTCAGTAGATATGAAAGCATTTGGGTTTGCCAGAGTAGCAAATGTTCTGTGTGTAAAACCTCAGACTATTTAACTAAATTGGATAAGCCCATAGATTAGGCAGATAATGCAGGAAATGATGAGGTAATTCAAAAGGAAATAGGAGTATCTTTTTACTATTAGCATAAAAGAATGCCTTGCTAATGGGGTACAGAGCATCCTGTTCTGGAATTTAGCAATGATGACTGATCTGTTAAGACCATTCTCTTGCTGCTCTAGACAAGCAGTGGAAGTAATCTATTTTCTACCAAATATTTGGTTCTCTATATTGTCTTTACCTAAATTTCTCCTCTATTATCAGTTCTTTATAACATTCCTGTCTGTTCCTTTTAATAACTTAAAGTTGAAAAACTAGTATCTAACACCTTGTTGTAGGGCTGTCCCATCATGGGTTTGTTCTTCCAGAATCTATCTTAACCATCTCTTAGGCAGAGCTTTATACATTCACTACTTACTATTACTTGGCCTAAAACTACTGCTCTTTCCAGTTTCCACCTGCTCAGATCCTTTTGGTAATAAAGCCACCCCTATGTGCTGAGAGGTTTAGATATCTTAAAAATTGACTTCTTAGAATATTACACATTTTCAATGTTTTTTTCTCTGTGTATCATTATAGCAATTGACAGCAACAAAGCCACAGTCAAGATGTCTAGTCTCAAGAGGAAGATGCAGAAAGCTCATTCTATTGCCTTATTCTCTTCCAGCACAGTCAAGCACTTCCATACTTCACTATTTGGCAGTATCTCCTTTAATTCTGTATTTCAACCTAGGCTTAATTATGCTTTTCGTAACTTACTTTGTTTTGTCTGCTACGTTATTTATGATTTCTACTTTCGTAATCTGTATGTTTTCTCTTTATTCCTTTTTCTAAGACCTCTCTTTTATCCGCTTCTATCCAGAGTTAAATGCCTTATGAGACCATTTGTATTTACTTCAGCTAATATTTTCTCAGTTCTGACTTGGAGTTTCTCTACAGATCTTAGGTGGCATTCACCTAAGATCTACTTCTATTAATTTTGTCAATCTGGATTAGAACACTCTGTGAACTTGCCATTATACCACAGTAGTGTATATATTCTTAACATATCTGCTATGAAAATGAATTGGCTTCAGACATCTTACAGTCTTTTGTGTCAGAAGGGGTTTATTGAGTCTTTCTGTTCTTCTCTCTGTTCTTCTTTCAGTTGCCTTTTATACTGTAATCACTATTCCATTGATTCCACTGGGTTTCTTCTTTCTGTGATAGAGTCACTTAGCATTGACTTTGAGGTCCCTCAGATGTGACTCCTTCAATTTTCCTTTGGACTGCCTAATTTTTATTTGCACGTACACACTTGGACTTCTTATTTTATACATTTGGACAAGCTTTTCATCTTTAAAAGATGTCTTTCCTTTTTGATGGGTTCTCTCTGATTTGCTCAGTTAACCATTAACAACTTTCTGATTTATTTGAGGCACAATTTTTCCTTCTGGGTTTTTAGCATTATCGTATAAAATAGCCTTCATTTTTTAATGAACTCTTAATTTTAGTTATCCCTATTAGCTTTATTTCCCCCTAGCTGACATCTGTATTTCCAAAAATCTAATAACCCCAGGGTGGACTTTTTTTGTTTTTTCTTGTTGTTGTTAAGATCTTAATATAAGTATGTCATGATCACTACTGCCTGTATATTTCATATACAGAATTCATGTACTTTGTATTAGTCTTTATCCATTATTTGGTTCTCAATCAAGGTTATCTCATTTTACTGTGTATTCTACTAAACCTATTTGTTCTAATAAGCAGTTATGTGTTATGTACTATAATACATAATAAGATGCATGCATCTTAGTATATTTTTATCTCGTTAAGTTAATCTATTTGAAATCTAGCAATGTAATTTGGTATTCTCCCTTGTTTTGGTGAATATTTCCATCTCAGATGTTTTCTCAGTCTGTAGTATATTCTACTGTTATATTTGCATGCCTACCTACCTATCTCCCATTACATAATGTTTATTAAGTACTAAATATAGGTCAAACTCTGTGTTTGAGATAGAATACAAAGGTATCTTGGTAGTCTCCTATTGAAGAGCTTATAGGGTAGTTGTAGAAAGAATAGATAACAATACAAGTAATTTTACTATTTCTTTGATGGCATCTATAGCACCTTATCTGTTATTATTTCTATGACCAATGCATTGTGTCCACTGTGTCTTTCATATTTAATGCCATATCCCAAGCTCTTCTATTTCTCATTTCCAAAAATGATTACAGCATGATAATCCAGAATTCTTTTTAGATATCTTTCTTTTATCAAATGTCTTTGATGCTGGTTATGCCAGCATTCCCATTTTATATTAAATATCAAATTTGTTTATTTTAAAGTCTTCTAGAACTCTGGTGGAAGCTATATTTATTTTAGGCTGGCTTTTAAATGTCACTTTATACATATATGAATTTTCTGGTGAATTATTCTCTACATTTTATTTCTAAAGCCCAAAATTGGTTTGCCTTATTATATTGTCTGCTGACATCTTTCACTCTTCTGAATTTATACATTTTCTCTAAATTTTTAATTCAAAAAGTTTACTACTATTTTAGTTGTTTGGTAGTAGATATATGGTGCCTTTTCAGTTATTTAACTGAAACAAACCAAAAAACCTCCATTATTCTGATACAGTTATAATCCAAAAAAAATCTGGCCTTCTCTTTGCCTTAAGATCCATTCCAGCAAAGTATCATGTCCATGAGAAACACAAATCTGGCTCAAAAATTCTTTGAAAAGTGATGTAGTTCTTTATTGTAGGTTTTCTTGATGGGGGCAGGGAAGGAAGAATCACATGGTTCAACATACTGTAAGTCATCTTGGGGCTCCTCGTTACCATTGTCTCTTTACAAAGTCCCACTTTTTTTTTTTTTTAAATCAGTTCCGTGTTTATCCCAATTCTTCATTTCCCATCTCTATCTCTGTGTCTCTGCCTGTTACTCCATTTTTCTCCCCTCTCCTTCTCTCTCTGCCTCTTTTTCTCATTGTTCAGCCACATGCTGGTCCTTCTCTCCATACTACCTCTATATAACTTTTTCTTGTAGAGAAATTTGGTCTGTTCTCAGTTTCTGCCATTATTCATTCCTTCACTATTTATCCCAGTCACACAACAAAAGCCTCAGTGCACCCTCTGTCCAGTCAGTACAGGCAGTGGATTCTTTCCCTTTTGGAGAGATGGTGGGGGAGTATCAAAAATTAATAACTTCTTTTGTTCCTATCATATTATATCATAGATCTAGAATTCTGCTCTTTATCTCATGTAATGATTAGATAATGCTAGCTGCTTTATAAGCACCTAAACATAATGGTTTAAAGAGAATTATGGTTTATTTTTATCCATTTAAAGTCTAAAATAGGTATTTCTAGTCAGTGTACAGATGTCTTTGAAGGAGTGACTCCTGGGCACAAACTACTTCTATGCTGTGGCACTGCCATCTTTAATATGTGGCATCCAAGGCCACTGGACTAGTGTGCATGAATCTACAGAACAGGAAAGAGCATGGAAGATGATGCCTGAAAGGTTTTCAGGGGCCAGGCTCAGAAGTGGTGCACATCTCTTCTACCATCCATTAGGTAGCTCTTGGCCACATGGCAACTCCTTTGACTGCAAGGGAGGCTGGGAAAGGTAATTTAACTATGTGCTAGAAGAAGAGAAAACGGATGACTGGCTAGTCTTTTCAATCCCTTATCTAAAGTTTGATACATTAGAGCTCTGCCCTTCCCACAAGTCTTCTCTCTTCACTGACAGTTTATGGAGATGACTGGATGTTGCAGACTTTAACTTCCTGCTTAGCAACCAGAATTTCAACATTTAGGACATCTTCCTTATACTTCTATATAACTCTCTATGCATCTATTTTATTTTTAACCTCAGACCAAAACAGTGCCTGACATATGTTGGTTACTTGGTGAATATTGAGTTAAAGGATGCATGATTTATCATCTCATGCCTCGTACTGCTTTTTTATAGAAATATCTTTGGTAAAAAAGAACATTTCATGTCAGCTAAAAAATGAGTTACTTCTTTCTTCAGTAACTAAAATAATACCAGTTGGTCTATATAACTTTACTTTGCCTAGGAAGATCATACTTCTTTACTGAGGACTAAGAGCTTCTTGTACTAGCTATAGGGTGGAGAAACCTGGGTCAGAGGTCTAGCTTTTAGGAGCAGATGTCTTGAGTACAGTGATAATTCAATTACAAGTCATTCTGGCTTCATTGTTGTTTAGATAAGGGAGTTCTCCTTATATCAGATCGATGGTAGAAGTGCTATCAGGTATAGATTTATTTGTTAGGGTTTCTTTTCCCCCATCTAGTTATAGCTTTCTTAACTATTATTAGCCAAGTTCCATGCCAAAACCTGGGATGCAGGTATGAATGAAAGTGCTCCTGCTCTCAAGCTTCCGGTTTTGTGATTGTGGGTAGGGGTGGCAGAGAAGCAAGTAACGGAGATTTATAATATTTTGTGATAAGTTATAGACTTACATGTTCTAAGGGAACATGGAAGAGGGAAATTATTTTATGCTTGATCAATCAGGAAAGGTCTAAGGCCTGTGCCTCACAGGGGTCGGGGGGCACATAGCCTTAACAACTATGAGTCAGGACAGCGTAACTCACACCCTGACCCTGTGTTGTCTGTGCTTGACTGGGTCAGGGGCCATTTTTGAAACAGATAGATAGATCCCTTAATTCCCTACTTGCAGGTTTAAGAGGAGCATTATATTCCTTTTCTGGAGAGAAAGAAGGAAGGAAAGGCCTTCCCTGGGCAACACTAAGAAAAGATCTACATTTCTTTCAGTCTCTTGCAGAGACATATTTCTAATCATAGAGTCTGTTATTGGACTGCACTGGAGATCTAACTGCACTGGAATAAACCAGATCATGACTCTATTGCTGTGGCTTCCCTCTATATTTCTTTGGAAAAGTTTAATTAAGTTTAGGCTAAATGTGCTATTTGAATAACTTGGTAACTCAATTAGTAGTCCTCTCTTGTTCAAAAACATGATTGTTTCACCTACCTATAAAATTCTGCCATATTTGTTATGCCTTGCTGCAAAATACTGTTTTCATATCTGTCACAAATTGTTGACCTATGGCAAGTCCTCTTCTCACCTGGGAATTTCCTTTTGTAATAGCATTGACATTGAATGCAATGAAGCAAAATAATTTTACTGATTGTTTATTTTTTCAATTAAAAAATTAAATGTCATTCTAATGTCAATTTAATATAGGGAAGTATATGAAATAGTAGAAAAATGACCCATATACTACCCTGAAATCTCAATATTCAAAGTGAGGTTAATATATTTACACAATAGAAAATTCAAACAGTACCAATAGATATATAATAAAAGTCTAGCTGCCCGTTGTCCTGTCCCTTCTCCCAGATGATTGTTCCTTAGAAGTAACCACTGTCAGTAGTTTCATATTACTTTTTTAAAGAAACATTTATATATACACATTAGCATTTGTATGATTTCATCTTTCACGCAATCACTCAACTTTAGTCATTTACTTATCTATTCAGAAATATTTGTTGAAGGCCATACAGACTTTTGAGCCCTGGATATACAGCAGGGAGCAAAACAGAACAGGTCTCTCCTCTCATGGCACTTAGAATCTAGATGGGAAAGAGAGACAAAAAAATATAAAATACGTAAACAGAATTATTTCAATTTGTTCAAATTCTGTAAAGGAAATAGAGTGGTGTGATGTGGTAATGTTATTAGGTGAGATGGTTAGTGAGGACTTCTGGTTGTACAGTTTATTAAATTCTGGATAAAGAAAAACATGGAGCAACTCAATTAATGTCAGACCTATGCTGTTTTTATTTCTGAAGGTGATGCCCCACCTGCCATCCAACTACCCACACCTGCAGTCCAGCGCCCAAGCCCCATCTCACTTTTCCAGCCCAGCGTCTCCAGTACTGCCCAGGTGGGCATCCAGGCTCCAAGTCTGCCCCTCCGTCCAGCACTCCCGCCCCAGCGCTTTGCTGGGCCCTCCCAAACAGACACTCATCAGCTGCACTCCGGAGCCAGTCGCTCCATGAAGAGACCTACTCCTGTCTCTCTGGAGAACACCAACAGGATTCCAACTAGTGCAAGTACTGCCCATGCCAGATTTGCGACCTCAACCATCCAACCTCCCAAGGAGTATCCCAGCATTTCCACTTGTCCCAGAAGTGCTCCAATCCCCCAGGCTCCTCCTATTCCACACTCACATGTCTACCAAGCTCCTCCCCTTGGCCATCCAGCCACGTTGTTTGGGACACCACCACGATTTTCTTTTCATCACCCTTACTTTCTACCTGGACCTCACTACTTCCCATCAAGGTAAATGAACATTTTTTTTCTTTCACCTGAAGACACATACAGATAATGAATTTTTACCTCTGAAGGTACCCCTCATTTAGAAAGGGACTCCCTCAATTCTGGTTGGAATCTGATTTAGATTAGAGGCTGAACAGGGGCCAAGCAGTTAACATAAATACACGAAGGAGGCTAGATGAGGACTAGGAGGCCAAAGAGAGTTCATGCCCCATCTAATGGGGTAACTGCTACTCAGCTGTAGCTGATGGTCACCACAAGGTAATACAGGCTCCAATGTTGTCAGATCTGATTTTTTTGGAAGAATCAGTTATAAGGGTCCTTAAGATCATTTACTTACTCTCCCCATACCCTATTCATAGAGTTGTGCCTCTCAGACTTACTTTTTGTGTATCATTCCTAGGTGATCTTGTTACAAAGAAGATTCTGAGTCAGTAGGTCTGGGGTAGAGCAGTATCCTATACCAGGGTATAGTAGGCTTGATATTCTGCATCTCTAACAAGTTCTCAAGTGAAGCCAGTTCTGTTGGTTTGTAGACCAAACTTTGAATAGCAACACTATAGAGGAAAGTGCTTGGTCTGGGAGGTTTAATGACTTGTTCAAAGTTACACAGTGGTCTTTTTAACCCCAAAAATTCCCATATAAATTATCAGCGAAAGAATTGATTTTTATAGGAAAGCATCTAGGGAAAACAAATTTATAATTTTTCATTTTGGAGTGATAGAATTTAGCTTCCTAGCAAATACTCTAATATAGTAAAAGTTCTACTTTTCAATTGTTAAGTGCATAAGTAGATAGTTACTACTGAGATTAGAGTGTTACATATTCAGTACCAATCTTCTATTGTTACTTATTTAGGAAAGTAAAATTACTTCCCACTTAGGCATACCAATAGCTCAAAGAACTTTTCAGGTATATATTATGTTACTCCAATTCATAATAAGATTGCTTGTTTTCAAGGCCTTACCTCAGCTTGCCACAACTGTTCCCCGTTTTATGGTTTAGTGGTGGTCGAGGGGTCGGTGACTCATGTTCTGGCACAACTTTTTGCTGTTAGAGGAAGCAATATAGACCTTTTTTCTCAAAGCATTATGGTTGTGTATTTTGACTTATTTGGTGGCTTCCTGAAGAATTGGTTCAAGGGCTTGTCTTTGTTTCATGCACCTCAAAATACTCTCAGGGTTTGAGTTGTCTTTCAAGTGGTGTTTGTGAAAAATATTCAAAGGCATACGCTACTTCAGCTTTCTGGGGGTAAGGGGCAACAGTTGGGGCAAGCAGGAGGCACACTGAAAATCCTAGAAGAGGCTGGGAAAGGAGGTACATGGGGAGTAAGAGCTTTGAAAAGCTCCCATGTATACTGAGAAATCCAGAATGGCACACACACATCCAGGGCTAGACACATATTCAACAAGCACCTGAGAAGACTGTAAGCTTTCACCTCTGATCTTTAGGCTCTGTGTAAGTAGAAAATTGAGTCTAAGAAAGAACTGTAAACAGCCTGGACAAGCACTGAAGGAGTACCCCAACTCGGAAACAATCTGCATAGACTGGGAGAGTGTTTTTTGCTCTGTTTTGCTTTGTCTGGCTCTACATGTTTAAGGAAAGCTGCCAAATCACTAAGTTAATGGAACAGAGACTTAAATAATCACAAAAGACAGAGAATGAAGTCTTTACAAAAATAGTCTAGGGGCGCCTGGGTGGCTCAGTGGGTTAAGCCACTGCCTTCGGCTCAGGTCATGATCTCAGGGTCCTGGGATCGAGCCCCGCATCGGGCTCTCTGCTCAGCAGGGAGCCTGCTTCCTCCTCTCTCTCTGCCTGCCTCTCTGCCTGCTTGTGATCTCTGTCTGTCGGATAAATAAATAAAATCTTTAAAAAAAAAATAGTCTAGAAAAGTCACCAATGAAACACGTAAGTACAACTCAAAAGAAACAACAGCATCATACCCTGGGGAGGGGCAGAAATCTGATTTTTAGAAATACTGTATTATAATACTAAAAACGTCCAGTTTTCAACAAAAATTTCCTATACATGTAAGGAAACAAGAAGGTATGGTATCTACAAGGAAAAAATTAACAGAAACTATCCCCGAGGAAGCCCAGACATTGGATTTACTAGACAAAGACTTTAAATCAACTGTCTTGAGCTAAAGGGAAATAAAAGAAACTATGGACAGAGAACTAGATGAAACAAGGAAAACAGAGTACCACCAAATAGAGAAAAAAATCAATAAAAATACAGAAATTATAAAAAGGAACCAAATAGAAATCTTGGATCTTAAAATTACAGTAACTGAAACAAAAAATCACTATGGAGACCCAGCAGCATGTTTGAGCAGACAGAAGAATTAGTGAATATAAAGTGACTAGAATTAGTGAATATAAAGTGAAAGAATTAGTGAATGTAAAGAATTAGTGAATTTAAAGAATTAGTGAATATAAAGATCAATATAAAAATATAATTAGTGAATATAAAGGTAGGTCAATTGCAATCATCCAATCTAAGAGGCAGAATTAAAAATAGTTAAGAGTAAACAGAATCTAAGGGACCTGTGGGACACCATCAGATCTACCAACATAATCATCAGAGTTCCTGGAGAAAAGGTGAGAAAGTAAAGGGCAGAAAGAATATTTAAAGAGATAGTGGCCAAAAATGATCCAAATTTGAAGAAAGATGTGAATCCAAGAAGTTCAATGACCACTAACTAGGATAAATACAGAGAGATCCACACTGAGATACATTATAATCAAACTATTAAATATCAACAGTGAAGAAAGACTCTTGAGTGCAGCTAGAAGAAAATGACTTATCTTGTACAGGAGATTCTCAATAAAGCTAACAGCCAATTTCACATCAGAAACCATGGAGGACAGAAGGCAGTGGGATACAAAGTGCTGAAAGAAAAAAGCCATCAACCAAGAATTCTATAATTGACAAAGTATCCTTCAAAAATAAAGGAGAAATAAAAGCCTGCCAGATAACAAAAGTTGAGGAATTTCAGAACTAGTAGACATGTCCTACAAGAAATGCTGAAGGGACTACTCCAGGCTGAAATGAAAAGACACTAGACAGTAACTCAAAGCCAAACAAAGAAATAAAGAACAGTGGTAAAAGTTACTATATAGGTAGTTATAAAACCCAGTGTTACTGCATTTTTGGTTAGTAACTTCTCTTTTTTTTCTGTATTATTTAAAACGTAAATGCATAAGCAATTATTATAAATCTATGTCAATGGATAAATAAAGTATATATATATATAATTTATGACAATATAAAGTGGGAGTGGTGTTTTATACAGAGTTTTCATATGCCAATGAAAGTAAATATCAGTTTAAATTAGATTGTTATACATTTAGGATTTTAATTGTAATCTCCAAGGCAACCATTTAAGAAAATAACTAGAAATATGCAAAAAGAAAACAAGGGAACACAGTAGCCCTCTAGAAAAATCCATTAAGTATAGAAGAAGACCTTAATGGAAAAACTGAGGAAAAACAAAACAATGAAATATATAAAGCAAAATAGCAAAATGGCAAAATAAGTTCTTCCTTACTGGTAATCAATTTAAATATAAGTGGATTAAACTCTCTAATTAAAAGCAGAAATTGGAAGAATGTATTAAAAATAGTATCAAAATATATTCTATCTGCAAAAGACTCACTTTAAATCCAAAGACACAAATAGGTTGAAAGGGGAAAAAACAAAAGAAGATATTCCATGCAAATAGTAACCAAAATGAGATGGGCTTCTATAATAATATTAGACAAAATAGATTTTATGTCAAAAATTGTTACAGTAGACAAAGAAGGACATTACATATTGATAAAAAGTTAATACATTAAAAAGATACAGTGAGGGACGCCTGGGTGGCTCAGTTGGTTGGACGGCTGCCTTCGGCTCAGGTCATGATCCCAGCATCCTGGGATCGAGTCCCACATCGGGCTCCTTGCTCGGCAGGGAACCTGCTTCTCCCTCTGCCTCTGCCTGCTTCTCGGCCTACTTGTGATCTCTCTCTCTCTCTCTGACAAATAAATAAAATCTTTTAAAAACAAAACAAAACAAAACAAAAGATACAGTGATTATAACCATATACATATGCAACAAAGGTCCCCAAAACATATGAAGCCAAAATTGGCAGAATTAAGGGAGAAATAGATGAACTTAACAATGACAGTTGATGTCTTAAATATTTTTTTGAGATATAACTGATATATACCATTAGTTTCATGTGTACAACATGCATTTTTTTTTTGCTTGTTATGAGAACTTTTAAGATTTAGTCTCTCAGCAACTTTCAAATATACAACACCATATTATTAACTATCGTCACAGTGCTGTACATTATGTCTCCAGGACTTATATATCTTATAACTGGAAGTTTGTAACTTTAGACCACCTTCACCCTTTTTTGCCCATTTCCTCCCCCATACCCCCTCTAGCAACCACCAATCTGTTCTCTATGAATTCATGTTTTTTTAATTTCCATGTATAAGTGAGATCATACCATACCTGTCTTTCTGTGACTTATTTTATAATGTCCTCAAGATTCATCCATATTACTACAGGATTTCTTCCCTCTTATACAGCTGAATAATATTCAATTGTATATATGGAATTTCTTCTGTACATGTACATGGGGGTACAGTTATTCTTTCAAGTTAGTGTCTTCATTTCCTTCAAATAAATACCCAGAAGTGGAATTGCTGGATCATAAGACAGTTCTATTTTTAATTTTTTGAGGAATGTTCGTATTATTTCTCATAGTGGCTATACCAATTTACTTTACCAGTAGTGCACAAGGGTTCCCTTTTCTCCACATCCTCACCAACACTTGTTAGTCCTTTTCTTTTTTATAAAACCGTTTTAACAGGTGTAAGGTAATGTCTCATTGTGTTTCTTTATGTGCATTTCCCCGATGATTAGTGATGTTGGGGTACCTTATCATGTACCTGTTGGCCATCTGTATGTCTTCTTTGGAAAAATGTCTATTTAGATCCTGTGCCTATTTC